CATGAAGATTCCCTGATGCAGATGTCATTCACATAATGATTACCAATAAATGTAATATAAAAAGTGTATATAAAGTGTAATATAAATTTAATATATTTTTAGAAATATCTGCTGATGCTTTGTATTTAAAGTCACAGAAGTGGTAAATGAAGCAAACACAAAGTAACAAATGAATCATTATTGTATTTTTTCCCACCATATTCAATATTCCAGTCACTCACATATTTAGGCCAATAAAAACAGCAGATTGTGTGAATTTTAAATATATTGTCCACATGCTCCCACTATGTTTAGGCAATTATTTCAGATTTCTTGCAAGAAGTTTATTTGTAACACTTTACAATAAGATCTCATTTGTTATAATATATGACACATCATTTAACATGAGTTAACTATGAACAATGCTTTTATGAGCAGTTTTTTTAAAAACCTTTGTTAATGTTAGTTACTAATATAGTTTTTCTTAACATTTATGGTTAAAAGATGCATAATAAAAATGTGAACACAGTTAATAAATGCTGTACAAGTATTGTTCATAGACTGTTCATTTTATTTGATGTTGTTAACTAATACTAACTAATGAATCTTAATTGTAAAGTGTTACAGTGTTATCATTTTCAGTTGAGACCTGCCAGGATGAACTTACGCCATTTATATTTAACAAATATAATTTGAAACTAAAAAAATTTGAGAAGCATTCATATTTTTCTTCAGATGTGGGTAGGAATAAGAGGGGGAGGGTCTCTTCAATGGAAAATGTCTTTTAATGCTGAAAATGTGTATTGTTTTTAGATGTTTGATTTGAAAATGTCTTGTGTTTTGGAATGAGTGTGTGTGTGTGCGTGTGGAATGTGATCTAGTTAGAGATTTAAAACATGTCTGTATAATGTGATTTATTTTTGTATGCTGAATTCATGAATGAACAAACTTTTCTTAATGTAACAAACAAACCCCTGATTTTATTAATGTCACTCTGTGGTTGTGAAAAAAAAATTCATGAAGATATGATGTAGGATTTGGGGCACTGCCAGCATTTTCTGTCCACCTTCATCAAAATACTAAGTTTTGGCACTTAAACCTCATGTGCTTACTAACAGTGAATGTGCTTGTTCCTCAGACAGTTATACGTAGTGTAGTGCTGTTGATTGAGCAATTTTAAGTTCTTGGACTGGTTTGGAAGTGGAATCAAACACACAATTTGAACCCAGCTCTTTAGAAGACATCGCAGCAGAAATATTTAGCATATTTCCAAGTATGTACAGGGAGCGAAATGTGACTGTGATGTGAAAAATAGTCATATAATTGAAGCGTTGTTGAAAATTTTTTCTTGTATAATAAACGGCAGATTTTTATTTTATTTTTAAAAGACAAAAGCTATCCAATACGCTTTAAACTTCGGTCATGATTCACTTGAAATAGTCAAAAATTGAACAAAGCTGCACATTACAAGGGACTTCAGGGGACCTGTACATTTCTCATCATATCTACAGGGGTTGGACAATGAAACTGAAACACTGACCGATTTAGTGTTGGAGGTTTCATGGCTGATTATGACCAGACTGGTGGCCAATCTACATTGATTGCACAATCCCCTAGTAGGAACAGTGTGAGAAGGTTTAATAAGCAGTAATAGCACAGTTTTGTTGAAAATATTGCAATGCACACAACAAATCAGAGTTCAAAAGAGGACTAATTGTTGGTGCGTGTCTTTTTGGTGCGTTTGTGACCAAGACAGCAAGTGTTTGTGATGTATAGAGTGTCACGGTATCCAGAGAAATGTCATCATACCAGCAAGAAGGAAAATCACACCCAACAGGAGTAACAGTGGATGCAAGAGGAAGCTGTCTGAAAGAGATGTCTGAGTGCTAACCTCGATTGTATCAAAATAAATAAATAAATAAAAATAAATAATTAAAACCACAGCTGCCCAACTCACTGCAGAATTAAATGTGCACTTCAACTCTGTTTCCAACAAAACCATTTTGTTCTGTTTGGAGCTCCACAGGGTCAATACACATGGCCAGTCTGCTATATCCAAATTTTTGGTAACTCCGGGAGAGTTACGATGCAAACCCCCCCAAAAAAGTGTACCACCCAGACTGTTGCAAGCCCAGAGTGAAGCAATATCATGCCATTTCCTAGGTTTAATACTTGTGCATCATTGCAAGGACTATGGAGCCATTCTGGAGGACCATCTGAACCCAATGGTTCAAACATTGTATTCTGAAGGCTGTGCTGTGTGTCAGGATAATAATGCACAAATACAAACAGCAAGACCGGTGACAGAGTGGTTTGATGAAAATGAAAGTGAACATCTCTCATGGCCTGCACAGTCACCAGATGTAAATATTATTGAGCCACTTTGGGGTGTTTTGGAGAAGCAAGTCAGGAAACGTTTTCCTCCACCAGCATCACATAGTGACCAGACCACAATTTCTGTAAGAAGAATCGCCCAATATCTCTTTGGCCACTCTGCAGGACTTGTATCTGTCTTGTATTCAGTTTTAATATCCAACCCCTTTGAGGGCTTTAATACGTTTATTTAAAGAAAAATCAACTGATGTAACATATTTGCATACAAATTTCAAGTTTGTTTTAGGAGTTTAAAATATCTAAACGCAAACTTTCCCCCCCAAAATAATAATAATAAAAATTAAAAAATACTATAGTATATATACTGTAGTAAAATATAGTATACTTTTTTTTTTAACATGTATACTAATTAAAGCAGCATGGATGCCATTTGTGCATTTAATTCTTATTTTAAAGCAATGTACTGTATTTAGTGCAATATAAATGAACATGACTAAAGTTTTAAATTGCAGTGCTTTTGCAAACCACCACTTCACCATGATTCAGTGCTTTAACCGTTAATGGCAGTTTTCTCACCGCTGTAATTTGTGTGTGCGTGTATAAATTTTGTTATTGAGAGGAAAAAATGCAGCACAAGTGACAATACTGCATGAAGATGTTTGCAAACAGTTTATCACTGCTTGAGTATCTCAAGTATTCATTTTATTTTTTTAAAGAGGTAAAATAACTTTACTGTGTATATGTTAGGGGTTTAACTACATTTTTGCAATCACACAAAACTGTGACTGAATGCATTTCAAGATGAGTTTGATATGGTCACTGTTTGCAGATAACATAGATACGACATATGTAAATCCTACCTGGCTTCCTGATTCTTTAAATGAATTCGTTTTAAGAGGAAATGGCTTGAGTTAGTGTACTTTGATATCCATTTAGAAACACCAGCCACTTGGCTTCTCACCAGTTTACTGCAGAATTCTATTTCTTGGAGACTTCCGAACGTTGAAGGTTCTTCTGTAGACACTTCTGCAATTAGAAATAAGGGAGACATTCAAAAATAATAATACATTTTAATAAACAAGTGATGCTACAGTAGAATAGAAATGAACCGTTCCCCCCTCAAAAAATGTCATTTAGTTTCTTTTCAAATTTTTCTTCTCTAATACATGCAAAAGAAGATAATTTTTTACGAATGTTGGAAATAGATAGCCATTGACTTGTGTAACCTTTTTTTTTTTTTTTTTTTTTCACCGATATAATTGGCCAAGTTTTCCAATGTCATTTAAATATTTTCATTTGTGTTCAACAGAAAACAAAGGTTTAGAATCATCAGGGTGGGTACATTTTTATTTTTTATTTTTGTGTAAATTGTATAAACTTTTTATGCTAGAATGTGAATTGGAATAGTTTATCTTTTCCAGTCAGTTTAAATGGATTGGGCTCAGTGTTTGATATTAAATAACAATTAGGGCTTAAGCGACTAAAGCTGGCAGTTACTCAAACCCCATAGATATACAATTGCACAAAATAGAGCATCACTCAAATTCAAGTGATAAAAAAATATATATATATTGTCTGTTCTGAATTATTTTAATAGTCTAATCTGTGTTTTCAGCATAATTCACTACCAAGAGTCACATTTTTGTTTTCTCACTGTATTCAGGATTGTTAGCAGGAGTTCCAGGGGTAAGTGTGTAAAGACTGATTTTTTTTGCCCTTAATTTTGTTCATTCATGTATTCTTTGATTCTTCACTGCAATAGAAAATGACTTTGTGGATGCTGAATGCACACCAAAAATCTTTTAATGCTGCCATCAAATTTTAAACTGGTATTTCACATTTCTCTACAATCCTTCATGGTTTCAACGTTGACCATTTGATTCAAGTCTTTCTTTTGAAGAAGCCGGGATGATTTCTACTTCCAGCACTGTTCTTGTCTATTAGTGGTTAAGGAAGAATTTCCAGCTTGGCTCATTTGCCTTGTTGCTTCAAAGCAAAATGAAGATTCACCCACTATAAAACCTCTTGAGGCTATAAATATCTTTTTCCCTTCAGTTTTTCTTCAATTCAGAAGACTGCTGCGGTTTTCCCTTCAGCTCGGAGTTGTGGCAAGGTTCAAAGAAGACATGTTTGGACGTCTACATTCTTGACTTCTTATTAGCACTTCTGCTTTATGATGTGTATTCTGACACACTTTAAGTAACACTTTTACTTCCTTTTGTAAATCCTTTTAAATCATCAGTTCATCTTGGTTCCAGTTCATCGATTGTGTCGAAGATGATTCTTGCGGAAATATTTCAGAAAAATCTGACTACAACTTATTTTGCCAGTCAGTCTTATGGAAGCAAATTAGCCTTTTTCATGTTAATCACTGACTGGTGTAAGCAAAATGTATTTTTCCTCCTCTAATTAAATTCTCATCTACTTGTGTGCAAGCTTCAATAGTTCATTATTTTCTATTGCAGTTGAAACATCATGGCATTTTAAATGTCTATTAAATCATCTTTTTTTGCAATGGTTTATTCAATTTAGTTTATCCTACATTTAACAACATGGATGTCAAAAGTGTTTAAGTTGATGTGAAATGTAGAAAGGGACTGTGTGTGTGTGTATGTGTTTGTATGAGTGGTTTGCAAACATTTGCCTTAGACCAGCAGTGTTAACACGCTAATTTTATCATTGCGCAGCATGAGGAACGCTAGTGGACTGCCCGCAGCTGACCTAGCCCATGCCCAGGGCTTTCAAGAGTGTGCCCAACTGCTCTTCAATGCCCAGAACCGGCAACTCAATCAGCTTAATGGATTCTCAACCAATGGCTCTGTGTGCTTTGGAGACCGCAAGCTAATCCAAGAACGGGGCGTCTTAAATGGAGTTCCCAGCCGAAAGAGGTCTCTTGATTGCATGGAGTCTAATCACATTAAAAAGGCCAGAACAGATGGTAAGTCTTGACTGAATGTTGAATATTTGCTTTTCTTAAAGGGGTCCAATTATGCTATTTATACTCACAGGTTGCTTGTCGTTTGCAATGTTGATGAGAATTGAAAAAGTATGTTGTGGCTATGTCCAGTTGACAACGTTTCACAAATCTAATATACTGATACGCAATACACATTTCATTTAAATTTCGTTTTAATCTCATGCTTAGGTCGACACAGTCTTGTGTGTATTAGTAAGCTTATGCAAAGGTGCATAAAAACAGTGCTAAAGTTGCACACCTTTCATAGCTGGCTTTCTGTGCCCTAGCTTCATGTTTGTGCATTTGGAAAACAATACCAAGAGTTTAAACTGAAGATGATTAGAGATGATTTTATTGTCGGTAGATGCAGCAAAATTGAAGAAAGCATAATGCAATCGCATCACACACTCGACAATCAGTGCAGTTACATTGATGCCAATACTTTGATTTTGATACGATTAAGACCATGCACTTATTAAGAGTGTACCCTGTAAATGTCGATTTTTTTTTTTTAATTTTTTTTTTTATTATTATTATTTTTTTTTATAGGTGGGCATAGATTAATTTGTTTAATCTAGGTTAATCTCAGAATAAATCTAGAATAATATAGAATAAAATGTCACATTTGAATTCTGCCGAAGGCATTCAGAATAAGTGCGCTTCCCAAATAATAAGTCTTTGAGAACAGGTTTCTCAAGCCAGGTGGTGCATTAGACCAGGGGCTCATCTCCTGTTCTAAAATGCATCACAAACTGCTTGAGAAACTGTTCTAACATGATAACTGGTGATGAAAATAAATGTTCAATAAGATGTACTTGTGTTTACTAACTGTTTATGCTGTTAAACATGAAATTTGAACTGTCATAACTAAAGTCATAACTGAACTAAACAGAAATGGAATTAAGACATGTGGAGCATGCATATAGTAGTGGCATTATTTAAGTAAACACCAACTTTTTGCCATGTTTTCCGAAAAGATCCACATATGCGGCTGTCAGTAAAGGACCGCATACACGTTATTAATGCGTTACATGCGTTATTAAATTCCATAACACTCACCAGTCCTTACTCCTTTAAGTCAGACATCCTGCTGATTTGATTCAGAAGTGCACTTTTTTTTGTCAGACGGCTCACTGGTCAGGTATACATTCGTGCTAAAATATCAAGGTGAAAGTCACTATAGCTTGCATAGAATAGACCCAGCTCCCAACCCAACTTTGAGAATAGATTAACGGCAATATTTTTAAATTTTATTTACACGATAACGGCCCACCACAATTTTGATTACTTCAATCAGACTAAAGTCATAATCAAACTTAACAAATGAAATTAAGACATGTACACTATTCCTATTTCGAGTGGATAATTGAAGTGCAGCACAGACATGGAAACACCTTAATCAAACTACTACTGCTTTGTAGTAATTTTCGCTACATTTTGTGGCAGGATGCACACAGCAGTTGTCAGACCTTTAACAAACAAATGAGAATGGCTTCATGCAAGAGAGCCCATTTTGGTGTGAACTGGAAAAGATGACTGCGCTAAGAATTCTGGGAGAAATGGACGTTATCATAAAGATACTGTAGAATTAAATGAAAACTTTATAATATCTGAAGCAAATTTTTAATCGAAATCGATCGAAATTTATGCTCAATTTCGATTATCGAATGAAAAAATAGAATCGTCGATGCTGCCACGCCCCCATGTCAAGTCAGCTTGGCTTGCCAAGCGGGAAAAAAACAGGCTTGTTGAAGTGCTTGTTAAACTGCAGAAGCAGGAGACCCATCGACAGAACTTAAACCCTCTCCTCTTTCAATGAAGTCGCCGGTGTGTAGGCATTTTGAATTTCCAGTGATATATGTTGACAACGTTCGTGTTGTCGACAAATAAAACACAGTTTTGCAAGCTCTGCTATGTACGTATTACGTACGGTTCGTCCGATAGACAACACCGGCATCGCGATCCTCCGCCCGCCCCCGTTGCAAATCCGCTCGCGAAAAGTACACACTCAGGCCCTGTTTACACTCTCTTTGTTTTTAAATGGCATTTTAGAACGACAACAATTTGACATCCACAGTGGCATGTAGCATTTCTGAGCAGCCCTCCTTCCTCTCTACCTCTGAAAATGCACATCACGTGACCACACAGACACAGACGCACACAGCCATGCACTCGAGACAGCAGGTCCAGGCAGTCAAAGGACTGCTTCAATCTTTCACTCACTTGTACTTAGTCATTTTAGCAAACACCTCAGATACTGTTGGCTGGTTCCTGTTGGTTGTGCCTCTTTTTTTTACCGACGCCATTATAACGACACAGATCACTGCCTATTCACGAGTCCCGCAGAAAAAGTGATTGACAGGTGGTAATTATGTGTGTATCTTGCCTTTATTTATTAACTGTATGATTTGTTTATGGGTAAAACAAAGACCATGCAGGTCAGGTAGTTTAAACGGTAGGCAACAAATAATTAATTGGTCATTCATTTATTTCATAATCGAAAATCGAATCGTGCCTTCAGAATCGAAAATGTAATCGAATCGAGAATTCGGAGGATCGTGACACCCTTAGTTTTAACCCTTCAGAGTAACAGTTTGTGGACAGTTTGCTGATAGCCTAATGATTCAAAAATTTCCACAAAATCAGTTAATACAGCTTTGTGATTACTCTTTATTTATGTGCTGTAAAGTTTTCTGTAGTTAAAAACCTTTTTTTATCTATTTTTGAATGCTTGGTCTTCAATCAGAACTAAAACTTAAGGCACGTTCTGTGGAAAACTGAGAGCAGATTATTGTTGTAAATATTGCATAATAGGACCCCTTTAAAAACATATTTAAAATGGATCATTTAACATTTTGTTGGGTCGCCATTGCAAAATCAGCAGACTGCCATCACCATACATTTCAGATCTCGGTTATCAGCCAATAAACGGGTCCAGTGGGGAAGAGCAGATGGAGAACATGCACATGGAGTTCGGGCCTGCACTGAATTCCACAGGTGGGAACAGACCTTTAAATGGATCCTTGCCCTTGCCGTCCAATGGCTACTGCAGTCCAGAACAGGACAGGGGGGTCCAAATGGAGAGCTCATCCTCTCCAGTCCACAAAGAGCTGGAGATCTTCAACGTGACCTCCATGCAGATACCATGCCGTTGCACTAACTCCTATGCCTATCTGTAGGGGCATTTGCCTTTTACTTTACTTTGTGTGTCTGGGAGAGAAATGAATTTAATCTGGCGCACATTGTACGCATAAAACTTGGTCATAGTGGCACCACCATATCTATTTAACTTCTGGTGGTATGCACTTTTTAATACAAAAGCAAAAAAATTGGAGAAGGTTGTTTTGTTTTGCACAATAACTTCCTTGAACGCCTCTTAATTTGAATTCCAATGCATTCCAATGTTTGAATCATCCCAATATTTTTCCTTGGCTGTAAAATAGTAGTTTGTTATGAGGTTGTATTTAGGCCTATATCTATACTTGGAAAGTGTTTGGTTTTCTTGTTTTCCTGTTCTTTGTTGGTATAACACTGATTGCACAGCTTTGGTTGTGAATTGTATTTGCCCTCAAAAATGTCATAAGTTGCTTTGTAATATTGTTTAAATTCTTGCATTATTAGTTATGGTGTGTGTGAGAGTCATATTAATTTACTGTAAAGTAGCAAGAAACGAGATTCCAAGTTAATGCAGGTTTTATTTCCCAGTTGAAAACATAAAATGTTGTTTATTTTATTCTTCACATTTAATTGTATTGTTATGCCAAAGCATATCTTCTGAATGTACAGAGTGCATCCATTAACTATCACTGTGCACTTAGTTACTTCTTTAACCTTAGACTTTTAATCCTTCTGTTGATGTTATTTGTTGAAGTCTGTATCGTTAGATTTATTGCATCTGCAGTGTTCATCCTTCAGGTTATTGTATGAGGGCAAAAGTCTTTTTTTTCTTTGTAATGTTTTGCATAGCTTTTTATATATAGTATGGGAAATATTTGTTAAATACATTAGAGCTAATTTGAGCTATAAGGGGGGGCTTCTTTTCACTGTACTTTATATAAATTCATATATAAATTGTTATTTCATCCAGAACGAATGCCAGAATATTATTTGTTTGCACTGCATACAGCCTAATGCATGATTGCCTACATAAAGTACTAAGTTACACGAGACATCTGACTGTTAGTACTCATTGAAACACTGAAACTGAGCTGAAAATATTGTTTATGTAAAGACGCAGAATGCATAAGGTTGATGGAGATGTCATTTCTATTCTCATTAAAAAGTTCTGTCATTTAACAAACACAGACTCTTGCATTTGTGCTTTGTAAGAACATGTAAGCAATTGAAACCACATGCAAGTAGGGCTGCACATTATATCGTTTCAACATGGATATCGCAATCTGCGCATCCGATAGTCACATCGTAAGATATGCAATGTTGTGTCTGAATTATAGTTGACCAGGAGCCGCAGAATTGTATTTAATTACTGTATGTATTTGGAATTTATAAGATTTATGCAACAACAACAAAAAGTTTTCCTTGCTTTGAATTTTTGGCTTGTTTCTAGTACTAATATCTACATTTCAAAACGAAAACGAAACCGTTTTACTTTTTTTTTTTTTTTTTTTTAATAAAGTTTTTACCACTTACCGATTTTTTTTTTTTTTTTTTTTTTTTTTTTTTCCCCAGGAAGAATTTTAAAAAAAAAAGTTAAAAAATACAAAATATTTTTAGTTGATCTAAGAATTTTTTGACATCTGGACTACTAACGAGATAAAGCAATGTAAAAAAGCAATTTTTTGCATTGTTATTTAATCAATTTGTGTACCTGAATACTGTTAGACTCCATAGAAAACCATCAAATAGAGCTATGCAATATCAAATTTTTCCAATATCGTGCAGCCCTACATGCAAGTATTCATTTGATGTTGTTTGCTACAATTGTTTGGCTACAATACGCAGATCTTTTATGTTTGTTGGTTGATCCTTTCATTAACCCTTAACCTTTTTATTTTTTTTCCTTCAACATGCATGAGATTTAAATATTAAATTCATCTTAATTTAAAAGGTGAAGTGTTTGCAGTTGAAGTGAATGTAGGGCAGTGTGCCAGTGTTTTATTTGTTTGGGTAAACCATATCAAGGCTTGAAACCAGGACTTTAATCTCCAGTTCAAATGTTCAGATGCAATTGCATTATATAAACCGTACAGGTGATTTTGAAAAACATAACCTGATTAATTTACTCAACCCTGGTAATATTTCAAGTAATAAAAACTTTGGAAATTGTTGTGCAAAACGGTAACATTCAATTGAGAATGGGGCAATTCTTTACTTTTGCTAATGAGGTTATTATTCATTTGTTCTCTCTAACAGCAGGACTCTGCCATCCCATGCAGCACCTCAATGGGGGTGACCTGATGCGCGAGAACATAAATGGGAATTCATCCGAGGTTAAGAGTGGTGATCATATTGGGAATGAGGGGGTCTCCTCACATCTTGGTCTTTTTGACAGTGGCCTTCACTACGGGCACCATAACGGCTTTGGAGACACAGCTGAGAACATGGAGGACGCCAGCAGTCAGATAGAGCACCGCAAGTCAGTCAGTGTAGAGGAGCAGTACGACCACATCACCTTCGACACCATGCACATCTATCATGGGTGTTAGGATCGTCCTGTCCACACTTAACATGCCTTTATATGTCCATTAAGAATGTGCTGGATTGCTTTAAGTCCATGTGTTTTTGAAAGGGACAATGTATTTGTGTTGTTAAATAAAAAGTGCATTTTATGTATGCTTTTTTTTTTGTATTTTTAGTTTGGGTCAGTCAGAAAATCATGGAACTTATGCATTATTTGATCCAATGTATTAAATGTGCCTACGAACTAATTATAATTGTTTAATGACATCTCTTTCTTATGTAGTATTAAGAGCTGCTTATGATTAAAATGGTTGATCAGTTGACTGAATCAATTGTATGTTTTGTTTTGCTCTATCTATATTTTGCTTGTAATTATGTAACGAGTAGCCAGGCAAAATACTGAATCATTTCGTTTTGACATAAGGTCAAAAAATGATACAATATTAACTTAGCATGGTAGTTAGTTCCATATAACTCCAATAAAAAGTTACGGATACATTTTGTTGAGTTACTAAACACCAACAAATAATTTAATAAATGATTAAATGTTTTACAAGTAGTTTTATCGTCGGTTTAGTTAATTAAATTGAATAATAACCATATTATAAAGTGTTGTCAAACAATAGCAAGGTTAGGCCTTTAGCTAGGTTAGGGCTAACTTGTAAAAAGAGTAGGCCAGAATGTGTTAAAATGTTTTGTCTTATAATAAATAGCTTATAAAATATTTTGTGCTGTTACATACTGTTAAGTTAAATTAACGAATAGTTATTTATTGTATTTTGAAGTGCTCTAACTTTTATCACGATATAGTATGTATTATTGAATGTCGAAGTTGGTTTTAATTGTTTCCACAGTCTGACTCGAAACGCGTTTAGTATCTAGTGTATTCCCACTTCGTTAGAATAAAAAATGTGGCTTTAAAAACATGAATAACGACTAAGCACGTCGTTTACCTGTTATGAAATATCAGACAGAGTACAAGGTGGACGTTTACTGCGTTTCCTGCCCTTAACCGCTAGGAGGACTCTCTGACCTCATTCCTCCCACAGAAACGTCATCGAGGCTGTTCCTCCAACCAAGACTCTACCAACGGAAAGACAAATAGGGGGACTTGTGACGTTTACGTAGCGCTTGACAAACATTTTACTTAAATTCTCGAATTATTTCCATTAACTCAAAATATTTCAAACAACTATTAGAATATTGATCACTGCAATTTTTCAAAACTAAACACACATTTGATTATAGGATCTTTTGCGTGATGACTCTGTGTTTTTGGTCGCAAATAACTCCCCTGTGTGGGACAGGTGGTATATTCGTGTCTCGTGAAAAGACGTCTTGTACTCAGAAAGGAATATTAATCATCGCTGTTGTGATAAATACAGTTACCTTAGGATTTCTTAATAGGGCTCTAAAAATAAGCGCTGACGCTTTTTAAGTGTAGTTAAAGATGTCCACCCCAGCTAGAAGGCGACTCATGCGAGATTTTAAACGGTGAGTTGCTGTTCAGCGATAACGTGAGATGTGTTTGTTTTGATGGAATAGCTGGCTAGCTAGTTAGCTTCATAACATTTAAGTCGGTAGTCAAATACTTTAACGTCAAACACACGATTAAAACGTGGTAATTTACTTTGTTTATGCTGTTGTGAGTTTGTCGGTGGTATTACACTACCTATTCACGTTGTAATGTTTCATTTTAAAACTCTACATTTGTTTTAGCTTGTTAGCTAGCGAGCTTGTTCGAGCCGGTTAGAGAAGTTATTCAAGCTTGACTTGTCTGAATGTTATTTTTTATTAGCCAGTGTCTGGACATTTTTAGAAAGTAACCACACGTTGCCATGTTATGTCTTGGGTGTTTTCTAATAGATTTATGCGACTGACACTGAAATAATTGTAATGTGTTGTGTGGTGGTCCCAAAGGCTCCAGGAGGATCCCCCAGCCGGCGTCAGTGGAGCTCCATCTGAGAACAACATCATGGTGTGGAATGCAGTTATTTTCGGGTAAGCCGAGAGCAAATATGTGTCTGATCGAGTCCAAGCTCCTGAAATGGAGATCCCCATGATGAAAAACCTCGGAATATATGGGGGTTTTGTTACTGACATTTTCCCAGCATGATGTGTGGATAACACGTTATTTTAAACTACGTGTACTTCCTTAGGATAGCACGATGTTACTATGTGGGTTAATGTTAGGACAATGGCTAGGTTTATTAGTATCTAGTAATTGCACAGTTTATGTTTTGCAACAAAAAAATACGTTTCATATACATGAAACAGGACTGTAAAATAAAATATTAGTGCTAAGCAAACACAGAATGTCTCCATATAGTTGGTGGGAAAAGAAATAGGAATGTTTTGGATAAACATTCAAATAACATTGAAATAATTATTATTTGTTAAAAAAAATAATAATGAAAATCTTCCTGCAATGTTTGCCATCGAAGAATAGATTGCATTTATGAATTGCATTAAAACAAACTTTTTTTAAAGCAATATTTTACACTTTACCGCATTAAAAAGTATATATAAATAAAATTTTATATATTAAATTATATTAATATATTATTATATATTATTAATATATGTATTATTATTATTAGAATTGTTTGAAAGTGAGTGTAAACAAAGAGCAGGCACAGTGTTGGTATCGGTTTCATTTACAATAGCACTTTATTTTTAATATGTTTTACGATATGACTTTTTTTGATGGAAAAGTAAAAAAAGGTGGAGCCACATCCACCTATTACACAATTGACATGGATAAACCAAAGTCCTGATAGCTTTGATTTATCACGGACAGATTTTGTTCAATGTCTTTTCACTCTTCAGTTTCAGTTGAAGTAGATTGTGACCGTAAATCTGTAACTTAATCTGCAATTTATCTAAATGTTTTGTTTCTTGTTTTCACATGCAGTCCAGAAGGAACACCTTTTGAAGATGGTAAGCTTCTGTTTGCTGAACCGAACTTGTGCAAATATGGTTGAATATGTTTAAAGTAAATTAGTAAAATTTATACTGAAATAAAGATGTTTGCTTTGCCCACAAGGTACCTTCAAACTCACAGTCGAGTTCACAGAGGAATATCCCAACAAGCCTCCAACAGTGAGGTTCGTCTCAAAGATGTTTCATCCAAATGGTGAGTGGTGATTCTTGTTAGTCTCAAATTAAAAGTAATGTTAATGTTGAAAGCTTTATTTATGTATTTTTTTTTAAATAAAGCTTTTAAATGGTAGTAAGCATTTTAATATTTTGCTTAGCATATTTAATATTACAATACATTTTTATTATCAAATGCATCAACTCTTAAGATGTTGTAGGCCAGAATAAGGGTTACTGGTGTATTTTTGTTGGTTTGAGAGTGATTTGCAGTATTAGTTTGGGCTGGTTTCTTCGATACATTTCTTTATTTATTTTTTTTTAATGAACATTAACAAGATTCAGACTTTCATTCTGACTGTGAATGTGTAAATCTAACTCTCCTCATGTCTTTCTCAGTGTATGCTGATGGCAGTATCTGCCTAGATATTCTTCAGAATCGATGGAGTCCTACTTATGATGTTTCTTCTATTCTCACATCAATCCAGGTATGTTAAGTCATTTTGTTTAAAAGTCATTTTAATGTAGCATGTGGAAAACATTTTACATTGACAATTGTCTGCTGCATGCCATCAAATAAGCCACAAAACTAAAAATTGTTGTCATTTACTCAACTTTCAGTTGTCACACGCCTATTTAAGTTTCTGTTGAACACAGTATTTGCATTTCCTGCTATGGTTTGCAAATCGAAACTAGTTTGCAACAATCTTTAAAACATCTTCTTTTGTGTTCAACAAAAAAAAAAGTAAACCCATGAAGTTTCCCACACCACTTGCATAAGTAAATGGTGAGAATTTTACCTTTTGGTGAACTATGCCTTTAGGTACTGATTTTTGGTTAGGAAAGTAAATAATGTTTTACTTTTGCTTTACTTATTACAAGTTTGTTTTCCTGTTGTGTTCTTGAGACCTAAAATAGATTTTGTTTGCCCTCTGTTTCTTTACAGTCCCTTCTAGATGAGCCAAATCCCAACAGCCCTGCTAACAGCCAGGCAGCACAACTGTATCAGGAAAACAAACGGGAGTATGAGAAACGGGTGTCAGCGATTGTAGAGCAGAGCTGGAGGGACAGTTGACCACATTCTTAAACCACGTTCTCACTCAAACATCCTTTTCCTTTTTTGTTTGGCTCTGTTGTTGGAGGATAGTTTTTCAAATCTCCATTTTTAAGTTTTTATGCACTTTACTCATGCAAGATTGTGATTTTTTTTTTTTTTTTTTTTTTTTTTTTTTTGGTTTTATTTCTCTCCCACATTATTGCCTGGACTGATTTTCAACCCTCATTAAGATTATTGAGAGGGGAGTTACCCCTGGTGTACAATGCTTGACTAATTTTGCATCTGGCATGAATATGCAGTAATTGTCCTCTTTTGCAAAATGTGAAAGCATCTCTAAAATGAGTCGATCTAATCCAGAAACATGACTCACTAAGAGACTTGAAGTCATAGTAGTGTTGATGAAAACGTCATTGGTGCTTCATTGTCAATTTTAATATCATGATTTTGCTTAACACCGTTGAAAGTGTCCTTTTAAATTTCTGTTTTGCTCCCATTTTACAGGATTAGTATTTGTTGTGTTGGTTTAGTCAGAAGGAAGGTTAAGTGTTCTACCACATAAGTGGTGAGCTTCTCTCGTTCGCACTGATAACAAAGATTGGTAGACAGATATGAGAGTTTATATTAAATACCAATTTATGCTAACAGAAAATGGCAATATGGTGTGGAGTATAAAATATAGCTATATTTACTGGTAAAAAAAAAAAAAAAGATTTGCTGGAATTGCTCAATTTAAAAATATCCTCCAAAAGCTGTGTAACCTTTCAATGGCTTGTATCACAAGTCCAATCAAGTGAAATAATGTCTTCAGGTGTTTTTTCCCCCTCAAGCCCTTGATCTTTGCAGATGTTTGCCCTGTTACATGCATGAATGCCTGAGTGTGTCCTTGCCTCTACTGATCTCTTGTATATACAAGTCACATCTGAATTTTGTGTACAGATTTTGCACTGGTTGGCAATCTCATTTTCCAGCACTTGTAAATACTTAAATAAAAGGTGAAACTACGCTTGTGAGTCACTAATGCTTTATACATCGATATCTTTCCATTTAATAAAGACTAATTTGAATTAACAACAAAGATTTGGGTGAAATGTCACCATTTTATTAGAAAAAAAAAACTTCTTGGAGAACATGCACAATTGATCATGTTACAGAAGTGTCGAAGACAAAATGTTTGGTCCACAGTGGACCTGAGCTAACACTTAATAGTGAAACTTTACAAAAAGTTCTCAATTAAAGGATGCGTTAACAACAAACATTTGTAACTTCTGTTTATAGAATGGCTTGGCAGCTCAGGTCCGCAAGTTTCTCACTGATAAAGGGATTAGTTTGTCCAACAAATTAAACTTCTGCTATTTACTCATCCATCATTTAATCCAAACTGGTTTGATTTTTCTTTCTTCTGTTAAACACAATAAAAAATGTTGGAGAATAAAAACCATTTGACATCAATTTTTTTTATTCCTACTATGAGAGTCAATGGCTGTTATTTTCCAACATTCTTCACAATATCCTCTTGAGTACAATAGAAAAAGGTTCAGAACCATTTGAGCGCATATTCATGAGTAAATATACATTTTTGATGAACTATCCCTTTAATCTTAACTAATGCTAACAAATTAAACATTTTAGCCGATGAACTTTGTAATTCTTAACTAATATTAAAAAAAAAATGAATAAATACTGTTGCAAATACATTAACTAATGGAACCTTCTCATAACGTTATCAATATTGTAAGGCCTTGTGTTTTAAAAGAACAAAAGCCATGCAACAATACTGCGACCTGTGTGGCTTATTTCACATGAACATATGTACAGTTACGCAAGACATAAATACAAGTAGCTGAACATAAAAATGCACTGTTGTCCTGTTGGATGAACTGGATACTCCTAACGCTGTAGAACATTGATAACTACACAACTGATGAGCGAATCCTCTCAGAAATATATCCCTAAAAGATATACTAACCATTGACCTGGTACATCATCACAGACTTCTCAAAACTGATCGCTTAACTCTCGAATGTCAGAAAGTTCGCCTGACACTACCTGTTGTACGCCCTCTCCTTTTTAGACCTCTCCAATGCCTTGTCCATGGTCTTCTCGTTGTCTCCTCTGCACTTGGGACAGTACCATTTCCCTTTGGGCTTATGGTGCAGATCAACACATGAGAAGTGAAACCATTCAATAGTGCATTCGTCATTATCGCAACCGATCATCTCTCCGTAGGACACCTGCTCACAAAGGCAGTAGGTGGGTTCATTGGGATCAATGGGCAGGTCAGTTGGCGACGGCTCTCGGTCTTGCTTGCTCTTGGACCTCTTCTTCTTTTTGGATGATGTTGCTGATGCCTTAGGCTTCTTTTCTTTTGGCGTGCCTGATGAAACATCCTCGATGTGCTCCAAGCTGTAATTAGAGTTCTCCCGATTCTCTGAGCCATTTTTCTGCCTTCTCGAACGCTTTCCACCAGATTTGTCAACTGAACTCGGGGTCTCCTCTCGTCTCCGATTTGCAGTTAGTTTACTGGCCGAGAGCAGTATATCAGAAATCGTCGTCATGGCTGTGGTTGTTATGGCGCTCGGGGTGCTGCCCACTGACACGCTGCTCTCCGGAGAGTCATGACTGGCCTGGAAAAGCTCGCCGTGCCACTCCAGCTGTCGGCTGCGGTTCTCCACCATTTCCACCATTTGGCCTGCGATCTGGATCTTTTCATCTCCGAGTTCTTCTGTGCGGATCAACGAGCGCTGGATGCAGTGGAGCAGACGACGTCTCTGGACCGGATCGGATTCTTGTCTGTGCTTTTCATAAGCTTCATCCAATTCGTTGAGGATCTCTGTATGATCAGCACACCAGGAATAGTGTAAAAAAATATGGCAAATGTTAACATAATTACTACCATAATAACTGACATTTAAAATAGAATTTAAGTTAGACATTTAAAAAAGTAGTAACTGTAACAGACTACAATATAAAAATGGTATATGCACTGCTATGATGTGTCAATCATTTTTTCATATCCAAAATGGGGGTGGGGGGGTCAATAGATGATGCCATTATTCATCGCCTATGGACGTCACAATGCTAAGCCGGCATCGCGATCCTCCGTCCCGCCCCCTTTTGGAAACCTGCTCTCGAAAAATACGCACTTAGGCCCTGTTTACACTAATACCTCTTTGTTTTTGTTTTAAAATGCCCTTTTAAATCTATCCACATCCACACTAGTGTTTCACCTAGCATTTCTAAAAAAGCCATCTGTCCACATTATACAAGTACCACTTGCTGAAAACGCACATCACGTGACCACACACACATACTGTCATGTGCTCGTCTCAGCTCCAGCTCAGCAAATGTTTTGAGCAAGCGGCAACCTCCCGCTCTCTCTCAGGAAGCCAATACGGAAGTAACTAAAACTGCAATTCATTCGAAATTCCGCTAGTCCTGGCCGCTCCTGGCTCTAAAACAGAGCAACTTTCAATTGAGCCCACTGTTAGAATGGCCAACTTTACAGCAGAAAAAAAGGTGTTTACAGCCTGGTACAAAAAAAGATTTTTGGTTAATACAGCTAATATTACCCTTCATGACAACTGTGAGGGGGGTGAATTTTTTTTATAACTCATCCGTTTCCTTTATATTAAGTTATATTAAATTTGCATAATTAAGGGCGTGGCCACTTGATTGACAGCTAGGTCTCGTTGGTCGCCGTCACGTCACCTCAGCTGAATCCGGCAGATTAGCCACTGAACTCGGCATATTTATCGTATTTCTGTGTTGTTTTATGTGGCTTTACACAGTCAACTGCCTTTTGGACTTGTTTCCTACAATTATTTGATGGAATGTCATGCTTAGTGCACTTAATTGTGCTCACAAACCGTTCACGTGGCCTCCGTTTCCCATGTGAGTAAAGTTATATACTTATATACCATCTCAATACATGTATTTGTTTTATTTTAGATCATTTATCGTTAATATTTATATTTAGAGCTGTAATGCACTCCAGAATCTGTCAGATTGATTAGCTGTAGGCTCTAGAACAGTCATGTGAAGCGTTGTCATACAGTGTTATGCTGGATTTCATTAATAGTCTTGCATTTACTAACACAGACTATATCTGAAGTGTTTGGATGTAATTCGCGTTTTCCTCCTGTTGAGAAACGTCATAAGAACAATGTTTAGTGGCTCAGTGTATTACAGCAGTGTTTTTAAAAGACTAAACACTTTATTGATATAGTGTACAACCAAGCACAAGTGGTCAGAATACAAACGAGTCACAGGTGATAAAGTATTAAGCGTTCTCCCAAAGTAAACCAGGTGTCTGAACCAGGTCCAAGCAAATTGCAGCATGCGTCTGTAGCTCCGATCACTCTCCGCCTCTTTGCCCATGTTTGGTATCCCGCCGTGGGTGTGATGACGCGCGGACAAAATGGCGACGGTTGGCCGCGCCTACCTGTGGCTTCTTTTGCGCTCTTTAGAAACCTATGGGTGACGTCACGGATACTACGTCCATATATTTTACAGTCTATGGTTTTGAGTAGTGCACGTCACACAGTTTATCAAGGTTGTCCCGCTGGATTGCGTCTCACTATAGTTGTTAAACGTAATATTTAATTCATCTTGTCTCTGTCTAACGACTCTGGTCTTTTGAATCTATCAGGTGTTGTGTCCCAGCATCAGTAAACTGCTTCAATCTTTCACTGACATGCTTGTACCTAGTCATTTTAGAGTAAACCTCAGACACTGTTGGTTGTGCACCTGTTTTTACCAACCAAGGTTGTCAACACCATTATAATGACACAGATCACTCTGCCAGAGTCATGCCAGGGTCCCGCGGAAAAAATGATTGATAGGTGGTAATTTGTGTGTAACTAATCTTTATTTACTTATGATTTGGTTATGGGTAAAACAAAGACCATGCGGGTCAAATTGGCTACAAACAAATAATTTATTTGTTAGGAATTAATTAATTAATCATGAATAATTATTTCACAAATGCCTATGACGACGATGCCATCGTTCATCGCAATGTTTCACATTAGAAATCTTACGATGCCAAATTGGTCGACATCACCCAACCCTAGTTTGAGTGGTTTGGAAGAACCACCCCTCACTGACAAAGGTCCAGAATTTGTCTCATGCATGAGCTAATTTGTCCTATTTTGACTGCTATGACAGTCTGTCTTATATCTGCTAAAACAAGCAGATTAAAAAATAGTACATATCTAAGGGCTGTTGCAATAATAAATGGACATTAAATCGAGGGTGTTTCTGGTCAAAAATTATTTTAATCTTATTCACTTTTTAACCTGCTGCTAGAAAATGCACTTTATACGCACATCATATGCACTTTTAGTATTGCATTGTTTTTATTTTAATGATTGATTATTGTTGTCATTTTATCTTATTGTTGCCATTTTATCTTTTTATCTCTTGTTATTATTGTTGGATGTTTTAGATAAATAGGATTGCACTGAGGAGAAGGGCAAACATAAATTTCGTTGTATTTTGTACAATGACAATAAAGATTCTGATTCTGATGTTATCATGGTGAAAAATAACCCATCGAAGAGGCTTTAAGGCGAAGCAGAATTCTCTGTTGGCTGATGCTTCAGTGTGACTTTAGTTCAGTTTTGGCCAATGCTAACATTTTTTTTTTTTTTTACGAATCCAACATCAAGCTGTGCAAGAAAACATACAATCTGACGTAAGAGGAATCCCCTTTCGCTGCTGTATTGTTTTTAAATAGAGAAAACATTTTACAAGTAACTTTCATTCTAAATCTTGGACCTCATTTTTGAAGCAAAAAAAATGACCATAAAAAGCTGTAAAGCACTAAAAGAGACCCATGTTAAAATGTATTTGAACACTATTTTGGCTAAAATAGTCAAAAAGTGTGGTTATGATGACCATGCGACAGCTAATTCAGAATAGTGCTTAAATGTCACTAAAATGCAGTATATAAATTTCATAATTAAATGGGAAATGAGGCGTACAATTGCAAAAAGGTCCAATTTTGGAAAAAAAATACACCCCTTAGGCCAGGCTGGCAACAGGCCTGCAATCTCATGTCAAAACATTCAACTGTAACGGTTAATCAAATGAAGCTCTAGGAACACTTTATCATTGTATTTATTTATTTTTTGTAAAAACAACTTTACTTATGTCTTCTGCGCTAAATTAGGGTGTGCATCAGGGTGTATTACAGGCAATACGAAGCTTACATGTTGTACTGCTGACTCTAATAGCAATGTCATACTGACTGTAGTAAACATGGACCCTAACAACCTGACAATGTTTTTTTAGAGCACAAAGTGTTCTTGAAACTTCATATGACTAAAGTTGAACCGATGAAGTCACGTAGAAAATTTTGGCAATGTTTTACTTCCTTTTCTGGACTGTCTAAAATATCTTAGTTTGTGTTCCTGAGATGAATGAAGGTCTCAGACATGAGGGCGAGTAATTATTATTAACTTTTATTTTGGGGTGAATTACTACTATAATCAATCTTATTAATAAAGAATCTCGTTAATGACATGAACAAATCCCTCAGTAAAAAAGCTAACCGCAGGAGATTTCTAGCTTTTTTAACTATAAAAACAATTCGTGAAATCAGATTGCCCCTGTAGTGACTCCTAGTAACTTAATGCCCAACCACGTTTGACAGAAACGTTACACGGAGTTGCTAACAATATGGTTTGTGTATATACTGTTTCTATGATTTTTTTTCAAAGCACACAACATCAGCACACAGTTGTGATTTCAAGCTACGTGATTATTGTAACAGGAAGTTTGGTGGCGCTAGACGCTGCCAGACTCCATCCGAACAGGATGTGTGGCGATTACATAGAAACCGCTAAATAATGTGCACAACAATAGCAAATGCATTTACTCAATATACTTAATAAACTGGGCAGCTTTACACTCGCAATATTGCCTGTTTCAAACTTGCCTGTTTCACGTGCTAACGTTAACAGTTAGCCGCTAGCCAGCTAGCTAGTGTGACATTTAACACCCGTTGCTCAAACAATGCAGTGTTACTGTGCTTACACTTCTGCCATGTGGAAATGTCTGTAATCTCTCACCTTGATATTTGGCGTCTATTTCCTTCATAAGAGACACACATCTTTGTAGGTCCAAAGGCAAAGACTCAACCAGCTCCAGGTACTCCTCAACATAGTTCACCACAACATGAGACGACTCGCCGTTTGATGAAGGATTCAGCATCTTTTCAAACGCATTTAGGATGTTGATAAATCTGTGATAAATCAATTTTAATAATTATCCTATGCTATGGCCTTTGTTTTAAAAAAAATAAAGGCTGCTGAGAAAAGTTACTAAGGTGTTAGTAGTAGTATTGAGTTGTTCAGGACCAGTGACGATTCTATGGCGGAGACCTACCTCATGAATATTAATATCTTTACGCTGACGTTGATGTGTAACCTTCCAACCGAGTGTCTAGGAAAGCAAAATATGATTAATATTCATTACAGAAGCTGTTATGTATGAATATTTTTCACAAAATAAACTGTAAAAAAAACGTTTACAGTGGCACGACGCGTGGTGGCGTCTGTCAGCAAGACTTCAACGGTCATTTCGAAGGATAGAAATTAAAATGCTCTGCATGTTATTTTAGGATTAGATGGGTTTAGTGGAGTTTGGATTGTGGAATAGAAAAATACAGAGGAAAAATGACTGTTGACTACGCACAACCCCAAGTAGCCTTATTTGAGTTTGAAAGATGCAAGGAGTTCAAAATAGCCTGAGCCGTCATATGAGTTGTTTACAGACTTGCTGCATATTATCACTCATCAATTATATTTTGTTAAGGATATAATAATAATAATAATAATAATAATAATAATAATAATAATAATAATGAAAGAAAACATAAAAAATTGTCAGAGAGAAAGCATAAAGTATAAATGCCCCAGTTTACTTTGTGTAGTAATTAAGAAACGGTCAAGCCAGATTAAAGACATTCTCTATGCTGAAACAGATTGTGCAAAGAAGTTTCCAAAGAAATGCATTGAGATTAAATATATTGATATCGTTATCTTTGGCAAATTGGCATGGAGCATGTGTTGCAACAGAGAAACACACATTAGACGAGAAAAATTATACTGCATGTAAGCAAATGATTAATAAACCATTTAAATGCATATTTTAGGAGGAAAGTTGTGTGCTTTAGGGAGGATTGTTTACCCAGGTGAAAAAAATATATAACTAAATGCAACTAAAATACACTTAAATACCCGCAAATACATTTTTAGTACATTGTTTTTTGTTTTTTTGTGTTAAATAAAAGTTTGATGGTTTTACACTATAAATATACTAATTAAAAGTATGTTTATACTTCAGTAGGACTTTAGTACACTTGACAAAAGTATACCAAATACCAGTAATACTTAAATAATTTTTTAGTGTACTACAATAAAGTACACTACAGAAAAACATCCAAAAGACTTTTATTAGTGTGTTTTTCAAAAGTGTGCTTTAAATGCTTTAAACATTAGTTGATTTAAGTACACTGTTTACATACTAATCCTAAGTTTAAAATAAGTTAATATATAAAAAATCTATTTGTAATGTATTGTAGTAGAAGTACATTTTCCCAAAAGTTGTACTTAAGTACACTTAATGTGAATGCAATATTATCACTAACACTTAAATTGATTTTGAGTGTGGTAATTTTAAGTTTTTAAGTAATTTTAAGTAGAAGTACATTTTCCCAAAATGTCTTTACAATTCATATATGTGCTGTAATGTTGCATATATTTATATTTTTGTGTTCTCAGTTTTTTGCTAAGTTTTTGTTCTGTCCCCTAAGGTATTTTTTGGACTTGTGGTTTATTGCACAAAAAAGATTAAAGTGTTTTGATGAAGCACATATGCTGTTTTCTTTGTACACACATTATCCCAGGTAAAAAAAAAAGAAGTGCACTAAAATGCACTTTATTTAAGTATACTTAGTACACTTTTCTGTAATGTACTATAAGTGCTCTATTTTCGCACACTAATTTTGTACTTAATGTACTAAAAGATAGTATTAAGTATATGTTAAGATAAACTTAATACCATCTAAGTGCACTCAACTGTGCTATTTTGAGACACACTGAAATTGAACTAAAATGTGCTTTTAACATACTATATCTGTATTTTAAAAATATATGTTTAGTTACAACTAGAAATACACTTGAACCCTAATTTTAAATATTTAAATATATTTATGACTAATTTAAAGTATAATAGTAATATATTAAAAGAATATTCAAATTGTTAAAAACGTGTGCTAAATACTGTATTAAAAGTGCTCTATTTTCCTAAACTAATTTTGTATTTAATGTACTAAAAAGTTGTATTAAGTACATTTTGAAATAAACTTAAGTACATCTAAGTGTACTCAACTGTGCTATTATGAGACAAAATGAAGCTGATCAAAAATGTGCTTTTAACATACTAAACATTTATTTAAACAATATATTTTAAAGGGATAATGTGTGTACAAAGAAAACAGCATCTGTGCTTCATCAAAACACTTTAATCTTTTTGTGCAATAAACCACAAGTCCAAAAATACCTTAGGGGACAGAACAAAAACTTAGCAAAAACTGAGAACACAAAAATATAAATATATGCAACATTACAGCACATATATGAAATGTAAAGAAATTTTGGAAAAATGTACTTCTACAATACACTACAATACATTACTAATTTTTTATTTTTTTTTTAATATTAACTTATTTTAAACTTAGGATTAGTATGTAAACAGTGTACTAAAAATCAACTAATGTTTAAAGCACACTTTTGAAAAACACACTAATTGTCACGATAACTTCATTCACATTAACCATGGACTACAATTCCGCCATTTCTGGACTACATTTTCATACATGCACTCTGCTCACGCACACATGCTTCCTCATCTAGAATGATTACACTCGCACCACCTGAGGATTTTCAGAGACTGATTGCCCACACTATTTAAGCAACACACTCACTCATTCACATTGCAGAGTCTTGTTAACTGTAAAGTAACACTACAACGCGTTTCCTAGTCTTGTTTTCCTGTGTTTTGACCCTAGCCTTGTTAGGCCGTGTGTCTTAGTCTGCCGCCTGCCTTCTGACCACTTGCCTGATCCTTTGACTACGATTCTGGACTTCCCTTGTATGTCTGTTTGCACCTGTATTGACCATTGCTTGCCTGACCACTGATTAAACCTGCACGTGGATCCTATCTCTGTTGTTTGTGTCACTCCTCAAGTTACACTAATACAACTGTTTTGGATGTTTTTTCTGTAGTGTACTTTATTGTAGTACACTAAAAATTTATTTAAGTATTACTGGTATTTGGTATACTTTTGTCAAGTGTACTAAAGTCCTACTGAAGTATAAACATACTTTTAATTAGTATATTTATAGTGTAAAACCATCAAACTTTTATTTAACAAAAAAAAAATAAAATAACAATGTACTTAAAATTTATTTGCGGTTATTTAAGTGTATTTTAATTGCATTTACTTATATATTTTTTCACCTGGTATCCCTTCAAATTATATTGTTTAAATTAATGTTTAGTATGTTAAAAGCACATTTTAGATCAGCTTCATTTTGTCTCATAATAGCACAGTTGAGTACACTTAGATGTACTTAAGTTTATCTTAAACTGTACTTAATGCTAATTTTTAGTACATTAAATACAAAATTAGTTTGGGAAAATAGAGCACTTTTAATACAGTATTTAGCACACTTTTACAATTTGAATATTCTTTTAATATATTACTATTATACTGTAATTTAGTCATAAATATATTTAAATGTTTAAAAGTAAGGTTCAAGTGTATTTCTAGTTGTAACTAAACATATATTTTTTAAAATACAGATATAGTATGTTAAAAGCACATTTTAGTTCAATTTCAGTGTGTCTCAAAATAGCACAGTTGAGTACACTTAGATGGTATTAAGTTTATCTTAACATATACTTAATACTATCTTTTAGTAAATTAAGTACAAAATTAGTGTGCGAAAATAGAGCACTTTTAGTACATTACTGAAAAGTGTACTAAATATACTTAAAGTGTATTTTAGCACACTGCTTTCACATTTTGTATATTCTTTTAATATATTACTATTATGCTTTAAGCTATTCTTAAATGTATTTATAAATGTTTAAGATTAGGGTTTAATTGTATTTCTAGTTGAAACTAAATATAAATTTTTAAAATACAGATATAGTATGTTAAAAGCACATTTTAGTTCAATTTTAGTGTGTCTCAAAATAGCACAGTTGAGTGCACTTAGATGGTATTAAGTTTATCTCAACATATACTTAATACTATCTTTTAGTACATTAAGTACAAAATTAGTGTGCGAAAATAGAGCACTTATAGTACATTACTGAAAAGTGTACTAAGTATACTTAAATAAGTGTATTTTAGTGCACTTTTTTTCACCTGGGTATGCCTTCCCACGGTAATACCATCCAGAATGCATGTCTTAATGAAGTCTGTATCATCCAACAGACTTTACTTCAGAGCGTAGGTATGCCTCGTAGATGGTGCTCTAGCCTGAGTGATTGTGTTAACCACCAATGCTGGTAGGTCATCTTAGTCCTCTGCGGTCTCTCTATGGATCATACGTGGAGATTTCAGAGATCTAGGCACGATTGCCAGATGGTGCCCTGTCCCTATGAAAAAAGGTCCTTCCTCAAAGAAATCTGCCAGGGAGGGGCCGTCGCAATGAGAGGGAGTTCTGATATCCAGATCCGGTTGGGCCAGAGATGGACAAATATCAAGACTTTCTCCTCGTCCTCACTGATCTTGCAGTGACGGTGCGAATAGGCTCAGAACATTTTGAATGGTAGCTTGTGAGGGCAGTGGTTCAAAATGCGCATATCTAGGATTGGTTTTAACCCACCACTCTTTTTGGGTACGATGAAGTACGGGCTGTAGAAGCCTCACCTTATTTAGGCACAATCGCTGACGCACCAGTGGTGGGGCAACAGGGTAAAGCAGAGCTCACCCATAGGAGGGGTCTCGAGGAAGAGCGGAAGATGAGAAGTCCAGTCTTACCTTCCACCCAAGAGCCTGTGGTGCGGCTGGAATTATGAGAGAAAGAAGCCCATCCTCTGGCACTCTTGCAAATTGTGGCGAAGATAACTGCTCCTGTAAGCTGGAAGGCACCACGTTCCATGCTAGCAGCGTTCGAGCTTTCACACCCAAAGAAAGGTGAAGTTGCTCTTTTATTGAAAATTTGGTAGCCACCGGCCATAAGGCCAGCAGCCTGGTGTTGTAATGGTGTTAAAGGTGTCACCAGAGGAAAGAGCAAACCGCCTTTTCTCCTGGTGGTCCATCTCAGGGATGCTTTGCGGTTCTTTTACTGGACTTAGCAGCAGCCTGGGGAAAGGGGCACTGGTCGTCTGTGAGGTGCTTGATGCTGCAGCTTAGCTGGTGAAGTGGGCTGGGGCAGCGGAGCAGGTCTTGCAGTAACAGACGGGCACCCTCAGCAAAGAACAGCCAAAGTGGATGGGTTGGCAGGGGGAGCTGTTTTGGGAGGCTGCCTGTAGATGACTTCCCACATTGTACTTGACTGCTGTTTCACCGCTGTGAATTGCTGGGTGAACACACCCACAGTGTCACCAAACAGGCCAGCCTGGGATATGGGTGAATTAAGAAAACAAACCACAACATCGCACATATCTGCCAGGTTTAGCCAGAG